CATGGCCCACGCCCTGCACGCGGGCTCCGCGCCCCCCTGCGGCACCCGGCGTCGCCGCCGGCGCGTCGAGTTCTGCGTCATAGCGCCGCGCTGCATCATGGGGGCGCGAGGCCCTGCCGCCGCGGCCTTTCTAGGCCTCGAGCCTGGGGAGCGGGCGCGGCGGGAACTACAAGCCCCAGGGTGCATCGCGGCAGGCCGGGAGAGGGGCGGCCCGCGCGAGGCATGCTGGGCAGGGTAGTTTTTCTCCTGCGCCCAAGTCCCGCCTGCGGCAGATAATCCTCTCCTTGCCCGGCCCGGACCGCCCCGCCAATGGCCTAGTTGGCTGAGAGTTGTCAGCCAAAGGGCCCTGCTGCACCTGTGTTACGTATATGAAACAATTAACATCACGCCATACTTCTAGGCCACATGTGCAAAGGCATGATCGCACCCTAAAATATCCGTCCAGCTATAAAGGCCACATGTGCAAAGGGAATGATAGTACGGTAAAATGTATGTCCAGCTATAAAGAGCGAACCAGCTACAAAGTTAGTGCTTGAAAATATGTCACCACTTTATAGCTGGTTTCTAGCCAGCTTTAACTGGGAAGTGGCAGGGCCCTAAAAAATCCTTGGCCCTGGCCCTGGGAACCCAGGAGCCTTGGCCCCCTTGGTCAGCGGGGAGGAAGTGTATCTGCTCCTGTTGGGGCTGGTGTGGTGCGTGTAGAGTTTGCCCCCAGTTTGCAGACCCCGGAGTGAGCCAGGACAGTGCTGCTGATCCCTCAGCACTGAGTCTGCTGAGGGGCGTCAGCACCCGCAGCGTTGCGCCCCAGGGTGCCATGCTTTTTGAAGCAGGATTTGTATAGGGGTGATGCCTGCTTTTCACCGCTGCCGCCAAGCATTACCATCGCGGTCTTGTGCAGCTACCAGCACAGGAGTCGCGGTGTCAGGATCCCAACTCCAGACAAAGAGAAGTGGCGGCTCAGTATTTCATCTACACTGGCGGCTGCCCTCCTAACTGGGGGGCCTTGTGAGAGAAACTCAGGATTAATCTCAGACCCACCCCTCAAGCTCAAATGACGCCCATAGGTATATTTATGTACTAGGGACCCCGTGAATCCCTGTCAGGGGCAAGGATTTTTTAGGGCCCTGCCACATTCCAATTAAAGCTGGCTAGAAGCCAGCTATAAAGTGGTGACATATTTTCAAGCACTAACTTTGTAGCTGGTTGGGTCTTGATAGCTGGATGGACATTGTATGGCGTGATCATTCCTTTGCACATGTGGCTTAAAAGTATTGTGTGATTAACTAGTTAATTGCATCACAGTTAACATGTGGCGGGGGCCTTTGGGTGACAACTCTGTGTCAGCTAGGCCTTGGGGTGAGGGTTATCTGACACAGCTCCAAAACTGTGAGTTACAAATCTGTTTTGTGTCCACCACCTTGCTTGCTATGGTGTGCAACCCACTTGCTGAAATTTGATACCTGTAATTTATTTCTCTAGCCACCTGGCTAAATAAACTAGAATATAATACTTATCATTAGCCACCAGGGGAGGCTGTAGTTTTTGTTATCACCTTATGCTTAACTTTTAAAGCAAAAGTTTAAAAGCAGCATCACCACAGGGCTACTGAGGATATTTTTGACCAGGCCTGAAAAGTTTGGGGTACAGAACAGGGTTCTTTGTTTGGCATCCAACATTTTTTCACTAGTTGAAATGGAGACCTGAAGATCTGATTAGTGGTTTTCTGTTTTACAAATGTGTCTCCTGAAAGTGTCTCCAAATCCCATAAAGAAACATATTTTGGTTTTACTCCTCACTGGGCACGTCTACACATGCATTAATGTGCCATAATTATGGCACATTTAGTTTAGTCATTTTTTAAGTGCAAAGTAGACTAACACATTAACTCATTATCATGGCTTTTTTGTGCCGTGCTATTACACAGCAGAATTAGTCTACTGCACTGTTAGCATCTCGTGTAGTTGTGCCCACTGTTTCTAAGAGATATAATCCCATGCCATTTTACCAAATGTTATCTGGATAACATGCACTCTTTCCCCCATATCACGTGTAGTGCAAGAATACTCTTCCCACAAAACGTGACAATGGTCAGTGATTCTCTCTACATCCAGGTCAACTAGTTCCCACATTTAAATTGCAGCTTAAGAAAAATTAACTTCTGTCAGTTTGCAGTTTATGGGGAACATTCTGCTCTCAATAACACTAAGGTAGATCCAGAGTAAATTGATCAACTTTAATGGAGTTCCTCCTAATTTACTGCAGTGCAATTAGACTTGCTAGCACTAGCAGAAAAGAAAATCTACTCTCAAAGGCTTGGGCAGTCTCTGACCTTTCTATGAGTATGCAAAGAAGGGTGTTGGTTGTAATGGTGACTTCTGTGGTGTGCATGCAATAAGACTGAGGCCAACATAACTCATTTAACAAATCCGTTTACTTGGATAGTTCTTTTAGTACTTTCCTAAAGCCACAACAAAGCAAGGGAACAAATTCTACCTGCCAAATTACAAAAGTCAACAGAGCTAGAACAGAACTTAGTTACAGTAAGGGTGAATTTGACCCAGGGGAACATTCACTTCTCAGCAGTGGCCTGGCTGGATGTGAATGAGTAGTACAAATGAAGCTTATATTAGTACAGGTGTGTTATACTGAAGAGGGCCCCCTCCCCAGTCTTTCTGTTATTTGCAGCAGGTGTTGAAAAGGGGGAAAATTCCTCATGCCATGCATTGTCCTCTTCGCCTGATTAAAATTCAGTGGCGGTGAGAAGCAGCATAAGCTGTCCCACGCCATCTGGCAGCTACGGGGGGGGGGGGGG